GAGAGAGAGGGAGAGAGGAAGTTTAACATGGAAAGAGTATGTACAATCATTCAGAGGAATCCAACAACATTGTCTTTTCCCTTGGCTGCTACTACTCCTAATTATTGATATCGTATAAGTTATTTGTTCATCGGTCCGATATTGCCACTATTCCTCCCTCTCTCACATTTCCTTTAATATTGCCTAACCATTAGTACTATGATACTTTTCAAACACACATGCACACACACACACACCCACACACATATACACACATCCACACATACATTCACACACATACATACACTCGTACTTACACACACACACACACACACACACACACACACAACAGCTTCGTTAAGTTCAAAAGTTACGTCGTCATTCGTCGTCGTTGAACAGAAAGCAGTCGTTGATTCTTCCGGTCAATCTGTCCTCTGTCCTTCGGTATGTCTGTTTCGGTCAATCTTCCCCTCGCTATGTCTATTTTGGTCCATTCTGGTTCATCTTTCCCTCGATATCCTAAATACTTTTCACTCTTTCAACTTTTCCACGATATTGTCCATTTCATAGTAGCCAATCACAATTTGACCTCACAATAAATACGAAGAATAAAAGAGTAAAAAGTAGGTAGGGTAATTCGAAAAAGTCATCATCTACTCAATAACTAATTAATTATTACAATGTATACTTTGATAATATGACAACTGTGTGTCGGAATTGTGTAGTAAATATTTGTCTTCGATCATTGATATGTGAAGATACGAAGGATGAATGATAATGAAATAATTTGTCACAGCAAAAGATGGCCAATCGACCGAATCTGAGAGAAGAATTCGAAAAATGGAATTGAAAATGATTTATACAAGACCTGTACAATGGCAAGTATAGTTTTGCATACTAGTTCCAATCTGTTGCATCCAGAAAACTTCCAACCGGATTACCGGCCGTATTTGAATACCGTACGATCCGTACGATTGAATACCGTACGATTCAATCACAATGTGCTCTTCAGGTCGAATTATTTTATCAAGAAATTATCAAGTAAGGAAGCATTATTGTCATATAAAAAGATTAAACTTCCAAAAATTTTTATAAAACTCTTAAATAAGCACAGTTTTTCTTCCTTTCTCCTTTTGTTCTTCCTAAAAATTTGATCCGAAATATCCGATGGAGAGAATATGTCTGAAGTATATTGACGTCAATTGTTGTATAGAAGTACAGCTGGAAGCAAATGAAATTGTTTAATTTTACATTTTGAAAGATTTGTTCTAATGGATTTTCATTTTCTCACAGAAAATAAGACAGTTGGCCTTTCCCTCCAAATAAAATTTTTCTTCCTCGACAAATTATTTGTTGAAAAAATGGAACAATGTAAAATACCTCGCAGTAAACTTTTAAGCATCATTACTCATCATTAACACAATTTAATCAACGTTCCAGATATATAACAACCAAGGTTCATGATAACGGAGATTTAACAACCAAGGTTCACGGTAACAGAGATCTAACAACCAAGGTTCATGGTAACACAGATATAACAACCAAGGTTCATGGTGACACAGATATAACAACCTTGTACAATTTCAATAAGTGATTCCTTGCAGACGTAACTCTGTTTCTTTTGTCCAAATTCCAGATCTTTTTTATATCTTTCAAAGCAAATCGATGATAACATGTCGTCGATAAAAGCATGACAGTGTAACCCTTAGTGCTTTTAATTTTATGAAATTTAAAAGGAAAATTGAAAGAGATTTAAATCATTAATAGTATCCTCAAAAGATCACTGTTAATCTGTTAGCTTATAAAGTAGATGTGAAAGCTAAAGTATTTATGGAATGATAATAGTGGAAAATGTATAGAAATAGGAAAATAGGAAATGAAATAAGTAGATTGGTCAAATTTACAAGAAATGAATTATTTCATGATTTATTGCTGTGTAAAGCAGAAAGATAAAGTGAAATGATGTACTAAAACATGCATATATGAAATCGAAAATCAAATTATAATGAAATTTGAAAAGGAATAACCTAATTTAGATGAAAAAGATATTAATTTTTGAGGAATATGATTTGATAAAAAGAGATGAAGATTATGAGAGAAATGAAAAGAGAAAATGATAGAATAGCTAACGAGTTATAGATGTTGTTGTCATGGAATAAAGTACTAAAAGATTAGAATATGTAATTTATTGCTCTTCATCATAAAACTTTTAATGCTAGAAAAGAAAAAGTGGTATTGGATAAATCTTTTTACAAATATTTCCATTAGATGAAGATGACAAGAAGAATTATCAATGAAAGTTTTTGGTCATCCTAACAATTCAAAGAGTATGACATCTTCGATATTTATTATATTTCAAAAGAAAGAAGCGACACGTAGACAAACGTATATGTGATACATGAGTGTAAGCATTTACGCACGTCTACTAAAAGCATTTACGGATTTACGTACGTTTACTTACTATTCTTGCGCGTACATAGCTTACGTATTACTGGATCAAAACATCGCACAAGGATAAATGGACAAAACGCTCTCACATCATTGAATTTGTGAGAGATGAAAAGGGACATAGGAGGAGAGAGAAAGAGTGGACAAGAGGAGTGGAGATTCTACTTTATGAGGGAAAGACAGGACCGATAGTGGCTAATGGGAGAATAGAACTGGGACATTTTGAGGTCGATTGTGCGTCGTTAAATATTTCATTTCTGATTCATAGAGGAAGAGTAAGCGGAGTTTGGGAATGATAAGGATTGATTTGATAGTAAGTTAGAGAAATAGAATCTGAAGGAAGATGCTTCACTGACGCTTACTTCTCTCATTAGATTAATTAGGAAGCGGAGAACATTG